TGTATATTTCAACAAGTCTCCATAAAATGTACAGTTAGAATGATTATTTTGATTTAATATCCACCTATTTCTTTTTAGATAGATTATTATGATTTCTAGTTGTTTAAAACTCCAATTCAGCAAAGCACTTCACACATACACTTAACTGCCATTGACAACAACAATATTTAAGCAATTTCTGGTTCAGATTAGTAAAAGTAATAATGGCTGAATACGTTTGTTTGAATGTTAGGACACAAATGTCATTCCTATCTGTTATTTACCCTCTTAAGAATTGTAACAACTTGTAATAGTGACAATGACAGTGGTATTTATGTTTGAAAGATTCTACTTGGGTGAAAAATATTCCTGATTCTTAATCATGTGCTTACAGAAGTTTGCTTTGCTCTGCAGACATGGTCTGCTGAATTGCCTATCTGCAAGGGATATTAAGGGTACTGATAATGATGTTAATTCAAAGTTGCTCCTTCATAGCCCCCTGAGTCTCATCTTTCACATTGGTCTGTATGAACAGTCTTATTATCAGGGCCGGTGTATAGTGTTTCGGTCGCTGCACCGGCTCTAGGTTTTTTGCCGCCTCAAGCAAAAAATCCCCCCCCCCCTCTTTTTTTGTTGGCTTTTACACATGTTTGCACTTTGCAATGTTTTTTGTTTGTTTTCGTTTTTGTCCTGGAATATTATCCCTATAAATAGCAAATATAATTTTAATTATTTTCCATAAAGGCAAAGGCTCTTCAAGTAAACTCCCCCTCTCCTTTCACTCGCTGCTGGGTCACAACAGCCTTTTCCCTGCCCTGTCCAGCTCCTCCCTATGGACAAGCACCTCTCACTCCTGACCCACAGGGGGAGCAGGGTTCAGGGACAGGGCAGAGACAGGGAGGCATGGGGAACAGGGAGAGTAGTGGGATTGGGGTGCACAGAGCCAGAGGGGTGCGGGGAACAGTGTGGGGGGTACAGGAGTGGCACGGAGAATGGGTGGTGCAGAGCCAGAGGGACACAGGGATTGAGAGGAGCAGGGTGGGGGTTCAGGGGAGGCACGGGGAATGGAACACGGGGAACAGAAGGCAGAGGGATTGGGGTGCACAGACCCAGAAGGGGGCAAGGAAAAGGGGCTGCGGGGTGCAGAGGGGGTGCAGAGCCAGAGGTATGTGGGAACCGGGGTGTAAGGGCGGCACAGAAAACGGGTGACGCAGAGCCAGAGGGGCGCAGGGATTGGAGGGAGCAGTGTGCGGGGTGCAATGGTGGAGCAGAGCCAGAGAGTCACAGGGAACAGAGAGAGCAGGGTGCAGAGGCAGCGTGGAGAATGGGTGGCGTAAGCCAGAGGGGTGCGGGGCGGGATGGGGCATGTGCAGTGAGCCAGACGGCTGGAAGGGAGAGGTTTGTCGCCAGAGAAAGGGTCTGGGGCTGAAGCAGGACTGGAGCCGGCGGGGCAGGGGGGAGCCTGGCCGTGCCATACGCTGCAGCTAGCTCCCAGGGACATGCAGCCAGAGCCGAGCTCTCTCAGCCCTTTAAAATCGGTGGGGCAGGGTGGAGTCGGGCATTGCGGGGGTGGCTGCTTACCTGGAAATCCCACCCCTGGAAATGTGCCACCCCAAGCACGTGCTTGATTTGCTGGTGCGTAGAGCCAGCTCTGCTTATCATAGGACTTATGTCCAGCTAGTTAGAAAAATATATTTCTCCCTGTCAAAAATTTGGACTATTTGGGGAAAAAAATCAAACCACAAATATTTAATTTAAAAATTGCAATATTTCATTTCAGAAATTCCACAATGATGCTTCATGGAAAGTCTGGTCATGTCATGCTCCTAGCCTCTACGCATCAGCTTTTTGGTCAAATTAACTTTCCCATAACACACCATCATTTCCCATCTTGATGAGGGAAGATCAAGTGTTGCTGGAAACCTAAAAGAACCAAACTACAATTCCTGTAAGAGACCAAATCAAAATAGTTCAGTTTTCAGACATTCATTTAAAAATGTAAAAAATAGCAGACATTTATCACAAAAAAATCTCCTGAAAAAAACCCATTCTGTTCTGTCAAAAATCCAATTCTTTGTCAAAAAACAGGTTTTGATCAGCCCTAGTATTAAGTGGTTCAGAATGCTTTTATGGCCTCTTTGCACCAGTGTGTATTTTACCCTTAGAATTATATCAGCTTAAATGGAGCTACCCTGATTCGCAGCTGAACATTTGGCAAAAGGATTCACCTATCAGCAAAAGAAGGGACTGGAAATCTCAAGTTGTATTCTAGGCTCTAGCATGGACTTGTTCTCTGATCATCAGTGAAGTCACTTGATTTTTCCATACCTTAGTATTCATGTTTCCAAGAACAGGCACAATAATATTTATATACACTACCTCGAAAAGGTTTTGCAAGGATTAATTAAACTCTAATTCTTTAAACCTTGTTCACCCAAAACTCTCTTAACAAAGTTATAGAGAATCTTTGGTGTCCAGGGAATAGATGTTTTGGCCCTGAATATCTGTAAAGTGCTCTGAGAAATATGGAGAAACAGTGCTGCTTAAGAACTAAGTATTATTATTATAAGTCAAGATAGTGTTATATATAATACCAATTAAAATTCAACAGCGGGCAAAAATATAAATGTCACTTTGAGCAATGTTCTACAATTTTAAAATGTCATGCATTCTTTTTGAGGCTACAGATACATAGAATATGGAGAAAACAAACCCAGCATTTGGAAAGAAGAACAGTTGTAAGTCCTGAGTGGCTGTTGCACACTTGCCAGGGTAATTTTACAGAAGGTTGTGTTTTTTCTTGTGTTTTTATAGGCTTTCCCTTTTTAGAAGGCACATCTTGTTATAAATTAACTCAGAATTCTTAGTACCCCTAACTTCACCCTAAACTTCACTATAGGAATGCTCATTAACATCAGTATCATTTGGGCCTGATTCTGCTCTCATTTAAGTCAATGGGAGGTCTATTTATATCACTGGGAACAAGATCAATGATAATGGTTTAAAGCAGCCTTAAGGAGCCATAGTTTTACAGCATATAAATTCCTAGTCCAATTTTACAAAACATTAAGAAAAATAGTTGGATAATTTCATTTCACCCTTACCAATATTAATGTGTTCATTTGCATATCAAGAAAAATAATAGTAATAAATAAGTTCGAACAAATTAGAAATAAAGGAAACGTTTAAAAATAGTTATTGAAAGAATAAGTGAAGGACTACTTGGGAAGTCTGAACAGAGTTGTGAGGTTTCTCCCCCTGGGGGAAACAGATTTCATACTGTGAGCACAGGGTTTAGTGTACCCTGTAAACTTTACAGGGAAACCCAGAGTAACTTATACCAATAGGATCAGTGCTTACAATCCAAGGATCCAATAAACATACACAAGAAACCAATAAAGGCATAGAAGATGGGCTATCCACCCATAGCTTCATTTAAACTAACAGGGAGGTAAAAATGCTGACAAGAAAACATAGTTAAAACCTGGATAAATAACTCTACTGCAAATAGGCTAATCATGTAAATTCTTAGTATCCAGCTTTTCCTGCCACAGTAAAACATCAGATGATTCCCTCTTAACTAAAGACTGTCTTTCAACATTTTTGAGAGAACGTGTCTTAACTAGGGTCAATGATGTGCCATCAAATGCTTAACACACACATTCTTTCAAAAATGTTCTGTCTTGGTGATACATGTGACATTTCCTACATAAAATACACTTGTTCCTACACCCACCAAAATTCATCCATTCCACACTTTTTTCCCCTCTGATCATCCATTCATCTTTTTCTGATCACTCCTTTAACCTATCATCATTTAGCTCAGTTCCCTTCTGTAGTGAAGTTGTGACATACAAAAGTGCTGGTCATTCTTATAATGTCATGTGAATTAGACTTATGAAAGGTTCGACACGATTACATGGCAAAGTTAGAATCCAAGGATGCCAGTGGTTACCTTTTACACTCTCAGTTGACAAGTCTCTCTCCTCTCTAGCATGTCATTAGGGTTACTCTCGGCTCTTCAGAATACACAGAATTTTCCAGGTTGGATGAGACTTTCCCCTATTGTTCCGAATTTGTGATGCTTCCTCCAATAATCACTTTTTAAAATATGTGTATGTAAAGTAATAATATAAATGTTCAAAGATATTTGTTGTGAAACTTTTAATCTAAGTTTCTATAAAGATATCAACATTGAAGTGAACTATCCCTTACAATCTTAATGGATTTGCAACAATTGTATAAGAATAATTTATGAATTGTCCTCAATTACAAAGAGGAATCGCTCATCCCAAAATCCCCAAAACCTTGAGCTCTGTATAATGTGAAAATGGCAGCCAAAAAAAGATACATAGATTCACATCCTAATGCCACAGAAGTCAGGGGCAAAACTCTCATTGATTTCAATTAGACCAAGATTTGGCTTCTTGTTTTTAAGCAATGCCAAATTCTAATACAGACATTTTGAAAAAACAAAAGTCAAGTAAATCTATCTTCAAGAGATTTTTTAAAAAAAGAGTCTGAAATCTGAATTCCCTATTACTTCTGTTTCTCTAGTCTTTAGAAAATTATATAAATGAGGAAATAGCACCAAAGACCTATTAGTAATAGTTATTTCCTAATTGCAGTGGGAAGCATCCTGCATGTTTAAATAAATACTGTTAACTCCGACCTCTTGGTTTGCCAGGACTGATAAGGCAATTGTTTGACCTATACGAAGCACATACAGTATGCATGGACTGAGTGCAGCAGGAAAACAGGAAACAATAAATCAGAAATTAGAGCACTGATTGTTGTAGCTAATTACATCAGACTTCTGCTTAATTTCTCACTCTGTCATTCTAACCTGATTTTCTTGCCAACAGACGTTGCAAATTGCTGGTGTCACGTACATACAGCAAATAATAATCTTTAGTTACTATGATTGACAAATGAATGAGAAGGAGAACATAGTTTATTATGGAAGAATGAACTGTGACACACACCAGATACCTGCTCAGATGCTTTTTTAATTCACTTACCTTGACGTGCTGCATGATGCATTTCGCCAGGAGCGCACATTTTGGCATCACAACTGCTTAATTGGATTTGTGTCTTGGTTTGATAATGCTGAAAAAAAATGATACAATATGTCACAGTTTGATTTGCACAGTGAAAGAGATAAATTGATAATGAGTTTATTTAAGTTGAATCTGAAAATAATATGGTTAGAATTAGACAGCTAAATCACATTGGTTAATCCTTATGTTGTTGATGAACATCAGACATCTTAATGTCCTCATTGGAATACCTGATTTTGTCACCGTACTTTCAAACTATACCATCTTTTCTTTGTTCAACTTCATCACCACCATGATCTTGATCTTCAGATGCTCTGAATTAGTAGCATTCCATTGAAGTCTTTTTACCTTTTGCCACTTTATACCAGCTGAGGATCTGGCCCCAAGAATGTTTGAAAACACTTAGGCAATTAATTTTTAATAGGTTGATTTCTACTTCCCAGCTTGCTCCAACTGAGGATCTATGTCCATGAAAAAAATATCTGCTGGACTGCTCACTATACTGTCCTTCACTAAGGCATATCCAGGACTATAGACACACAGCTGTCTGTACTCTTCTTGGATCTTCTGGGCTCAGCATAGCTCTCATTTGTGACTTACAGCTGTTCTGTCTTTACATTCCATGATGATGTCCTCGTCTCATCTTAGTGTTGATGGGAATCTAATAGACAAGAATAGCCAAGGGAATGCAGTGGAGGACAGTATGAAAAGGATTTACTCATTCTATCATTGTTGCCTTTAAATGCTGTGGTTTATGTATAATGACACTACCCTTGTAATTTAAAAGAGCAACATCTGGACAATGAGCCCTGCATAATGTTCTGTTTATACTTTAGAAAGATATGTGATATATAAGCACAAAGTGATTTAAAATATTACATATTATGAATTATTCTCTTCATAACTACTTTCATGTTACCTTAATCCCTCTTCTATGATATTTTATATGGGCCAAATCCTAGAAACTGGCAAACTGCCCAAGAAGCTGTGGCTGTCAGCCCTGTACTCTCACTATGCGAGGGACTATGATACTCACTCTTTGGATCACTCAGCCATCACCTTACCCCTTTAATACTTCAGCCACAGCACAGAAAGCCCTCAGAGATAAGCACTGAATATAGACGTGCACTGCCTTGGTACATACTCCCAAATATTCTCTACATTCATGTAACAGACTAATATTGGTTAGTATTCTCTGTAGAGATCCAGGCAAGATTTGCCTTTAGAATTCTTTTTATTCAATAGTATAATAGTAATATTGCTATATTATGAGCTAAAATAGAATGTGAAGACTTCATATTACTCAACAATGCAAAAACAAATGAAGTCAAGGTTCCCTTTTCTTTGATCAAGTTATACTGAGATTTAACTATGCAGTTTTTTCAAATCTTATCTATTTATTGTTCCTAAATATATATACCACTTTGATTTTCTGTCTGCTTCTTCGGATTTAATTTGGATTATATGAGAGGAATTAGTTTTACAGGAATTATTTCTCTTCTTTTCCTACTTTTTGGATTGATATCCTGATGATCACCCAAATTAAAATCTGAAAAAAAAATACACATCTTACATTAAACAAAGATGTAGGACACACTCGGGGTATGTTTACACTGCCACCCTAGCAATGAGGAGTAACAGTAGTTCGAATTAGGAGCTTTAATTCAAACTACCTAGTCCGTGTAGCTGCGGGTAGGTAGTTCGAACTACAGCGCATTTAAAAATGGCAGTGCCCGGGAACATGCAAATAAAGCCGGGATATTTAAATCCCGGGCTTCATTTGCAAGTTTGAATGCCTACATTAGCCACCCTAGTTCGAACTAGGGTAGCAGTGTAGACATACCCTAAGAGGGTGAGTGCACACAAGACATGAATGTAAGGGATGATAATTACTACAAATCAACTTTTATGGACAAAATTTTCCTTTATACATACACATTAGACATATGAATTAGCAAAACAGCCATGTTCTGTTGCTAGTAGAGGTAGGCCTGATTCAGAAAAGTTCTGAGTATTGCACATTCTAAACAATTATCTTCCACCAATTTAGGCACCAGGTCAGGTAGTTAGACTAACTGATGGTCTAATCCAAGCCTCCAGAACTTGCACGTAAGGAACTAACAACATGCAAATAGTCTGTAAAAAGGAGATAATCACTTTCTGACTTCTGTCATGTTATCTCTTTGGATTCCTAGCCTCACTCTAAAAGCAGTCAGTTCATTCATCTCCAGTTAGAAGACAACCACAGTCCTGTTTGTGACATTGGTAGGAAAAACTAAAGCATTTAAAACTCCCACAGAGATAATTTAACTACAATATTACAGGTAGGAAATTTAGCAACATTTTGGAGCCCCATTCTTAAGTGTGAGAGAAGTCACACTGAAGTTAATGGATATGTTCTAATTCTTTGGTAGATTTGGGCTTTCATTTTCTCAATGAGTCCACATTGCCTCTCAATGTATTAACGGTACTATTTAACTTATTGTGGATGAAGCCTACTTAATAAAGAATGCCAGACTAATTTAATATCTCGACATTGTACAAGGTGTACACTGACCTTCTTATACTATAGCAGCATAGTATAGAAGGTTCTAAGAACACACAGATTCCCACATACTAATGATTTTATGTGGCCTTCTATTCCCTTTTCTAGAACAAAAGAATTCTTCGGTGAACAGCCAAGAGATACTACCAAGATAAAAAAAGAAGCATTTATACAGTCTGCATATAATCTTTTGAGACATAATATAATAGGCGTATACCCACAACCTTTCAATGCAGCAAACAGGGTTAAAAGAAAAAAATGTAAATATTTACTGTATTTTTATTTACACTATGTCTTCTATTTTTCTTTTTTTTTTTACATTGAACATTAAAAACAAAAAAAACTAAAATCTGTGTCCCTATATATATTTTATAGAAACCCTATAACAAGACCACCCCCCATTCAGAGGTAAGAGAAAGCCATTAACCTTGTGAATTTTCACAGTGGATTTTCACAGATTAATTTGGCACAGGTGTTTCTATAATATGGTGCATGGGAACATTCACAGCGGCCTGTCCCCCTTTCTCCTGTGGTGGTCTGTACATTCTGGACTCTAATCTAAAACATGTAAGAGTACCAGCTGACTCAAAACTTTGTACATGTGTTTTGTTATGCTGATTGTGCTACTTTGATGTGCTCCTTCATTTTGCATATGCATAAATGCAGAAACTATATAGAATTAGAAGGAAAACTTGAAGACTCCATTTGAAAGCACAAGAGACTAAAGACAACTTTTGGAATGGTCATTCTCCCATGGTAGCTGGGATTTTGACATAGATTTTGTATTACACAAGCAGATGAAAGCAGCATTAGGAGCAGTAAACAATTTAGAGCCA